GGAATTCAGAATTTTCGTATGAAGTAGTAGAAGAATATTTATAAGATCATCTTTCCTTATTTATGAAAAAGATCACTTTTCTACAAAAAGTACTCAATAAATTTTCTTTAAAAAAATCTATAAGTTTATTATTATTAAAATGGGGAGGCCTAAATATTGGGGGCCTAAAACAATTTGCCTTAACTGCTTCACCATAGAGCAAGTAAGATTTTTCGTCACGAATTTAAATGTACCCCTATAGACATATAAAACTTATTAAGTTTAATTCATACAAGATTTGGATTGAATCTTAATTTTATTTGGCTCAAATAATAAATTTCGATTTTACAAATTAAATTAGTCCATTTTGTTACTTTCAAGCCCAAGGTCCATTTCATCTTAAGGCCCAGACTCATGCCATGTATCAGGTGACATGGCATATCCAGTCAAACTCAAAGCCAACAAGATGACGCCACGTGTGAAATGATGTTGGCAATCCCAATCTAAAACAGTGGCCAATCAAGAGTTACTAAGTGTCTAAAATGACATGTCTGGGCCAATCACAAACAAGCTTATCATCACATATCTTATGTGATAAGTTTGATGACTCAGATGACCCAATCAGTATCAAGAAAGAGAGTTCACATGTAGATAGATTGTTCATCCTCTACCATTATAAATAGAGGGGTTACATAACTCTTCGAGGACATTCAGAGTTGGAGAAGAGCTTCCGCAATTGGTGAAGGCATCCACAAATAGAAAGATCAATCATCAAGTGCATAGTTTTGCAACAAAGGAATGGTCAACGGAATTCTTCCCAGAGATCAACCCAAAATAACGAAGTACTTCTCGACGTTCTTGGTGACTAAATACATCACAAGGAGGTATGCATATTCCTATATTCAAGAAAAACGCTTCTCAAGCCCTTGAATTATAGAGAATTTCAGAGAAGAGAATCAAGGGATACATAAAATTATATTCACAAATATTTATCAATAAAATCTCTTTTCTTCATATTTTTTTGCTGCAGTTTATTTTTCATACTACAAAAATTTGCTGTGAAAAAATTTTCACGCCCAGCGGGACAAGTTCTACCCTCCGTCTCTTCCTCTTGCAAGTAGAAAATTACAAACTTCAAATGTACTGCCATAATGGCCTTTCGGAAGTGTGATGATGTTCCATGCAAGGATGCTACCCCTGCCGCATCCATTGAGCTCAGTCGTGTTGTTCCAATCACTCAAAGCAAGTTCAAGGCTAGTGGCTTGGATGGATCCAAATACTTTGTCTCCTTGGAGATAGCAACGAAGAGCAGATATCACATGGCGTCCGCAACCGCAATCTCTGGGGGCAACACTCCATTCTCGCTATTTGACGAACTTTCTCAAACAACCTCCAACCTTGGTGGATTTGAGGATTTGGTGCATTCTCCAGTTTCAACAAAAGTCAACGCCTTAATGACAGACACAACAAACTTGGACGAAACGTTTACTATGATGGAACAGATTATAAAAGTCTTAAAGAAAAGATCTTCAAATCGTTCATCTCATGAAATAATTTGAGGCCTATGCACCAGGAGAGTTGAGCCATATCCCTCCTCTTTCAACTGTTTTCACCTCGCAGAAAATGGCTGTTGAGGAATCGCTTTCCAAGTTCAACATTCAAAAGGAAAAGCAATCTACTTCAGTTGCGACGTTATCTTCCAAACAATTGCAGGACATGATAACAAATTTCATTAGAGCTCAATATGGTGGACCATCACAAAGTTCGTTGTACTACTATAAACCTTATACGAAGCAGAATTATTGTCTAACTATGTCAACCATTTATCAACCACCAAAGCTGCATCAATTTGATGGTAAAGGAAACCCAGCGTACATATTTCCCACTTTGTCAAGACTTCTAGTAATGCTGGAACGCATGGTGACCTTTTGATAAAAACAGTTTGTTCGTTCACTGAAAGGGAATGCATTTGATTGTATATTGACTTGGAGTCCGAATCTATTGATAGCTGGGAGGAACTTGAGAAGGAATTTCTTAACCATTTTTATAGTACCCGAAGAACTGTATGCGTGATAAAGTTGACAGGAACCAACCAAAGCAAGGACGAGGCCGTGGTAGGTTACATCAATCGTTGCAGAGCATTAAGTATGCACTAGGGCCTTTTATACATCCTACAAGGGATCAAACCGCAAACTTTTGAAGAACTTGCAAAGCGAGCGCACAACATGGAGTTAAGCATCGCAAGTCATGGAAAAGCATCTCCATTTGCTGATCAAAAAGAGTTCAAGAAAAGTGTTGCACCAAAGAACAAAACCAAAGAATCTATGACGGTGAAAGCAACTTCTGTGAAAGCCACGACCAAGCTAAAGGCGAAGGAGGAGAAGACCCCGAATCAATATCCGAAAGAGGAGAAATGTCTCCCAACCTTGAAGGAATTAGAGGCGAAGTTTTATCCATTCCCAAATTCAGACATACCCACAATCCTTGACAAATTGCTGGCCAAGAAAGTCATCAATCTCCCTGAATAAAAATGGCCTGAGGAAATTGGTAAAGTTGGAGATCCAAAATACTGCAATTTTCATCGCGTCATTTGCCACCCTACAGAGAAATGCTTCGGCGAGAAAATAATGTCTCTTGTAAGTGAAGGAAAAATAATTATAAACATGGATGAAACAGTGGAAGCAAACCATGCAAGTGTCGCGCCCAAGGAAAATAAGCATTCAAGGTTGCAGAACATGTCAAGCACTGCCTTCTTACAAATTGGAATTTTTTTAGCCTGTTGAAGTTGACCTTCCAAGGAAAAATCTTGAAGGTTTACTAGAGCTCGAATATCACTCCAAAGACAACGACGACGAGGGTTGAACTCTAGTCACTCCCAAGAAGTGAAAATATCAGGCAGTTTTGAGGCTACAAATTCCTAAACCAAGAGAGATGATGAGGAATGTGGATGGGCTACAACCACCACGAAATGTCAAATATTATACTAGCAAGAAGATTAATGGTGCCTTATCACAAAAGTTTTGAAATCCCATTACCTTGCGTGAATTCTTTCTTGAAAAATTCCTTTATGAAAGTCACGTTATTCTACCCAAAACACAAGAACATCATGATAACGAAAAAGTTATCACATGTTGTGCAATACTTTCCTTCACAGATGATGACTTGCTGCTGGGGTCTAAGCCACATAACAGACCTTCGTTTGTTATAGGGGCCATTCGGGAACAACACCTCAATCGCATACTTGTTGATGATGGATCGGTTGTCAACATCATGCCAAAGATGGTGCTAAAAAAGCTTGGGATCTTTATCGATAAGCTATCCAAAAGTAACCTAACAACCCAAGGTTTCAACCAAGGAGGACAACAACCATATATATGATCTGGGTGGTTTTATCCATTGGTGAGATGAAGTCAAACACCCTGATTCACATCATATATGCTAAAACATTATACAACTTGCTGCTTGGACGTCCCTAGATTCGTGAGAATGGAGTGGTATCATCTACTTTTCATCAATTTCTGAAGTACATAAGGGATGGAGAAATAGTCAAAATTGATGCAGACATTTATCCTTTCGCTAAGATAGAGTCATACTTTGCAGATACAAAATTCTACCTGGATTCTTGTGAACGGAGTGTGGAGAAACCATCATCACTAGACGAAGTCGATATCAATTCAAAAGAAGAAAATGAGGCTCAATGAACTACCACAAGCTATCTAAGAAGACAACTGAAGAAGTATCTGTTAAGCTATCATCATTCGAACGTGACATACAAACAAATACTGATAAAGAGCATCCAATTTTCCGCTATTTTTCGCATGAGCATCAAAAGAAAGGGCAAGCTCTATTAGAGTAATGTACTCCAAAGAAGCAAATGAGCCATAAAGCTATATAAGATTTATAGGAGCATATGACTGTCCCAGTTACACACATTCCATCCATGACTTGTGAGTCTACTAAAGGCAATTCCCAAGCTGATAAAATAAATGGGATTTTTGATCCTAAGGCCTCTGGTTAAAAAGTCTGGTTACGACTTCTCCAACCCATCAAGATTAGGAGAAATTAAAGATGAAGTCATTGGTGAAAAGATACACGGGCTTACTGATTCTAAACGAGGTTGAGAAAGCAAGGGCACTACGTCACCACTGCTAAGTTTGGGTTAGGATTTAGTTTGGTAGAGCCTCTTCTAATTTCATCTAAGAGAGTCAAAGAGATAGCTTCATAATAACACACCTCGGTAGAGGAGACAAATGAAGTTAAAGACAAGAAAATAAAACAACGGGCATCAATGTTTGATCGCATTGGAGGCTCAACACCTCGTGTCTCAGTGTTTGAAAGGCTAGGTCACAAAAGTGAATGTGTATCTTCCAAACATCTAAAGGGAGTGGATGCTATCTCAAAGACCTCTGTCTTTTGTCTCCTGGAACTATAAGAAAGTCACCATCTAGAAATATGTTGTCAAAACATGAGGCGCAAGGTCACTGCGAATTTGTTGCTAACAAG